AGTTTATGTCATGGTTCAGAAATATCAGAAGAATAAGTGGGTTCATGGAGTAATAAAGCGACGAATCGGTCGTGTGATACATGAAGTTCAGGTGGGAAAGGAAATCCTGAGGAAACATGCAAATCAGCTGAGGAAAAGAATCACTCCGATACGTTGCAAACAATGTCCTGATCAGATTGACTCCGATACGTTGCAAACAATGTTAGAAAGTTTGACATCGAAGAATTTGGACAACGAAATGCAGAGGCAGCAACAAATCCACGTTCAGTTGTTACCAGCACACCCAATAATCAGCAGCAACGTACAGAGATTCATAACGCATATCCGAGACGTTCACACGTCCTCGAAAACCGATTCCATTTGCTGATTATTGTGTGTCAGTGATTTAGTCACGCTTGTTAATTATAACGGTATGCTTCGCTTCTTAAAAAGGGGAAGATGTTGGGAGCAAGTGATCTTGCTCTCCCCTTTCGAGAACGTTCCAGCACAACTCGGATCTGGAGCGTAGATCGACTAGCGAGGTTTAGGGTAGTGTGTCGGCGATCGACAGGATTGTGCGGCCGACGCAAGGATCGACATCTCGCCCCAGCAGCAGCCTCGACAACGTCTCGAGGAACGTGAATTGGAAGGCCGAACGGACCGTGTTGACTGTGGTACCCCGGTCAGCACCAATCGAAGAATCACGGACTCGGAGCTCCATAATTACCAGTATTGATATTTTCTGTTGGACTAATAAAATCGAACCCAACGTGTGTCGCAACGGACACAACACTAAGCATCAACTTCATCAATAGAGAAGCTTCACATACGCATCAGCAATTTGATCCGTGAGCTTTTCTTAAGCATCACTCGCCGATGGCGTGAAGATCCTTGTGGAAGAAGGAATAACTCATGAGTGCGACATCAGGTAGGGTAAGGTCAGTGTGAATGGCCTTGTATTTACAAAGCCGACTGCCTTATTCCGGCATCTGAGAGGCCTCATGAGAGCTAACAGAGCGAGAAGCCGGCTAGCCAGATGGGAAGCATTACCACATGCGGGTGCCTTCGCCCGAGGAGCAGGCAATATTGATGTCCGGCTCAGTAGCCTATGGATCCGTAAGGCGATGGTAAGCGCCCTAAACTTTAGAAATGTCCTCGGGGTGCAAGAGTGGGCCCTTACCACTAGAACTCGGACCGCAGGCCTAAACGACTCCACCCAATGCCATATGTGCGGGCGCGAAGAGGAAACAGCCGACCACATCGCAAGTTGATGTTCGCACTGGCTGAGCAACCTGTATGTCGAAAGGCAACAGTGTTGCCAGAAACCTCTACTTCCAACTTTGCCAGCACTACGTCTTCCAACCCATCCACCACACAAAGCATCAG